CCCCAGTAAGGCCAGGTTTGGTATTTAAAAATAATTTCAGGGATATACAGAATATATAATCTACTATTTTTCTAAAGATGGACCATGGTCAATATTTATTAGAGAAAATTATTGTAAATTTGTTGATCAGAAGCATAAATTCTTAATTAATCAGAGTGATTTCACCTGCTAGGAAATATGTCAATGTCCACACAAATGAATCTTGCCTTAAAGTCTATAAAATCTTGCTCCCTCCCCCTTTACCCCTCATGGGCCTTTCCCCCCAGGATTGCATTCCCTACTGTTAGTGTCTGCTTCCCAGATGACCTGAACTGACACAAACACTGTGAGTTAGTTGTTCTGGTCATTTGTGTGGCGTGGTTAGTTGACTTGTAAAATGAGTATTGACTTGATTTAAATACTTGCCTTACTTTAATAATATTTTAAAGGAACCAAGATGGTTCACTGAAAACTGATTTTCTTGGAAGTCTCCACCTAGGTGATTTTAAACAGGTGACTGGCGTTTGGGGGACCGATTCTCTAGGTTCAGACCCTGGTGGATGTTCTCATCAAGGCTGCAAATGGAGGACACGCTACAAAAAGAAGTGAAGCAAGAAAGACTATTACATGGAACACGGGAAAGGGTACAAGACAAGCTGCCAGTAGGATTGCGGGGTCAAAGCATGGGACAGACGGACAGCTGTTCTGAGTCAGGCTGGGAAAGCAATGCCTGACAAGATAGCATACTTCGCATAAATGCCTGGTGGATCAGCTTCCCAGCGCTGCTGTAACGTATCACCACAAACTGGGTGGCTTAAAACAACAAAAATGCAATGGCACATTTCAGGAGGTCAGAAGTCTGAAATTAAGGTGTCATGGGGTGGTTTTCTTCTTGGGGCCTCAGAGGCACAATCTGTTCCATACCTTTCTCATTTCTACTGCTTGCCAAGCAAGTCTCGGCATTGCTTAGCTTGTGGTAGTGTAGCTACAATCTTTGCTGCAGTTGTCACATGACGTTCTACCCGTGTTTCTGTGTTTCTGCCCAAATTTGCCTATTCTTGCAAGGACGATGTCATATTGCATTTAGGATCCACTTGAATCCAGCATGACCTCATCTTAACTTGATTACATGTCCAAACGATTTCAAAACAGGTCACCTCGGCAGGCTCTGAGTGAACATTCAGTTCAATCCAGTATAACTGGGAACTTGTGTGATTAAAACCTGGCCTTTAGATTGGTGTCATAAGAGATTAAAAGGCATTTTATGGTGATGAGCCTTTGAAAATAGGAACGTAGTGTTTGCTTGTAGGATCTGAAACATCCGAGGGTATAGATTCTGTCTTCTTTCCTGACCACACCTCCTCTACAATTGAGATGACACTCCTCTTGCTTTCCACATCCCGAATACAGTGAAATAGTCTGGTTTGGTGCATTGATGCATTTGCCTTACTCCTTCAACCCGCCCCCTGCCTGCCCCCACCACACACATACACCTTCATCCTTCCCATAAAGACAGATAACAGAATCAGGGCATCTGGGTGGCTTGGTCGGTTAAGAACTCAACTCTTGGTTTCAACTCAGGTTGTAATCTTGTGGTTCATGAGTTCAAGCCCTGCATCAGGTGTAGAGCCTGCTTGGGATTCTCTCTCTCTCCCTCTCTTTATGCCCCTCTCTGATCATGCTCTAGCCCTCTCCAAATAATAAATAAACTTTAAAAACTTCTAAAAAGAGACCACCAAATCTAAACACTAAACTGCCGGACTTACGTCGGGGTTGGGGAGTCACTCTGCGTGGAGGCCGCCATCCACACCACTGGAGTAGAGTGAATGGAATGATAAAAGGAATCGAGGTTATTTCTCAGGCAGCTTCTACCCAGGCTTACTTTGTCATCCCTCTTTCCGCAATTCACTCCCAGACCCACAAGTACCCAGCATTGCCACTTACTGAACATCCTCAGGATTCTGCCACAAATCAGGTTGCTTCCCCACTGTCCCCACGGCCAGCTCGGAATTGGTCTCTCTCTGTTCTGTGAAGTCAATGTTTATTCATCCATCTACTTTCCAGACTGCAAAATTTTATTGCTGTCATCTCTCTTCCTGCTTTTCTCCTACTTCCGTTTTGTGTGTGTGTGTGTGTGTGTGTGTGTGTGTGTGTGTGTGCGAGGTGTTTGTGGATCTATCCATTGATCTCCCATCCATCTCTTTTTATTGGAGTTTTAGTAAGGGTCTGGAGGGAGTAATGTTAGATGTGTACATTAGTCTGGTATGTTAATCTGGAACTCCAGATTTAAAGCAATACCAATCAATAGGATAGTGAGGGTTCTCCTGTAATGCTGAACTGCTCAGGTATAGACATGAAGTAGGTAGACAGATTTAATTAGGGCGGGAGTTTTGCCAGCTAAGGAAAGAAGGGATTGAGATGATGGGACTTAAGGAAACTTGACTTGCAAGGAAATAATTATTTGATGCACCCTGGACTTTCTACCTGGATAAGGAGGGTAGTGTGAACATGAAGGAGGTGATAAGAATGAAAAATTGGAAGTCAATGGACTGGAGCCCCCCAAATTTTGAAAAAGCGCTCAAAAATTTGTGGGACATACAAAGTGAAGGAGCAGGAGGGCCAGAGAGTAGAAGGATCTTAGCTTTCAGATCTGACAATTTTGGAGGTGGTGATTATTGGGTGTGACCCAATAGGGGTGACATGGCAGGCTCTTTTCCAAAGGTGATCACAAAAATCCCCCTCATCCCACCTGACCTCCTACGGTGTGAGGCTGCCACACTTCCATCAAGAGATGGAGGCTCATGCCTGCTAACTTGTTTATGACCCAGCGAGTGAAGTGAAGAAGCATGACTTCCCAGGCTAAGGTGAAAAGGCCATGTAGTTTCTCTCTGGCTCTCCTGGAATGCTCTGGGGAATGCCAGCCACCATGCAAGCAGTCTAACTCCCCTGAAACTATCATGCTAGAGAGGCCACATGCAGGTGCTCTGGTCAGTCTAGCCAAACCTGACCTTCCTGCCACTCCTGCCAAAATACCAGATGAGTGAGTGAAGCTGTCTGGACCCTCCTAGACCGACCAGCGAAGTGCTGTAAGGGACTTCAGCTGGTGTCACAAAGAATGAATCTAGGGAGCACCTAGATTCTTGAGCTACACAGTTTGTGCAGTAGACAGAACGTCTGTGATGTTTCCATCCAGACCTCTCCCATGGCCTCCAGACCCATATAGCCAGCTGTCTCCGAACATCTTCACTCAGATGGCTAACACGCACCTCAAATTTAACGTATTCTAAACTGAGTTCTGGATAGTCCCCTCAAACCGGCTCTTCCCTATCTTGGCTATCAGCAATTCCATTCTTCCAGTTACCCAGGCCCAACACCCTGCTGTCATCCCTCACCGCTGTCTTTATGTCACAGTCCATAGCCAAGGTTATGTAATACCACTGTCTGTACTTTCAAAATATACCCAGATTGCAACCACTATTCACTACCTGCATTGCTACCACATTCACCAAGCTGCCATCACCTTTCATCTGGATTACCCGCCAAGTCTCCTCAGAGGACTTGCTGTTGCTGTTAATCTTCAGTCTACTCAGAAGGGTCCTCCTATGTCACAGCATATTCCTCCCCCACTCAGAATCCTCAAAGACCCACCATATCACAGTAAATAAAGGCCAAAGCCCATACCAGGACCTACAAGGCCTCTCCTACTCCCCAGGTTTATCTCCTATTCCTCTCAGTTACAATGGCTTCCTCCCTGTTTCCTAAACTAGACAGGCACAGTCCTGCCTCAGGGCCATTGCACTAGCCATTCTTTTCCAGACACTCATGTGCTAGCTCCCTCATTTCCTTCAGATATTATTCAAAAGTGAGTTCCTGGAAACTATGGACGGCGACAGATGTTAACTGGACTTATTATGGTGATCATGTCACAATTTATACAAATATCAAATCATGCTGGACAACTGAAACTGATAAAATGTTATGTGTCAATTACCTGAGTTAAAACGGTAAGTTTTTAAGAAGAGTTTTTCCCCTAAATACTGTTATCAGTGGAAAAATAAAAATTATGCATTATTAAAAAAAAAAGGGGATTCTTCTGTGAGGATTTCCACTGACAGTACTCTTAAATCTCACGCGGTCATTGACACTTGACACCTCACAACCCCATTCCCTGCTTTATTATTTTTTTAAATTGAGATATAGTTAACATATAACATTAGTTGCAGGTGTACATCATAATAATTAGATACATACCGCAAAATGATCACTACAATAAGTCTAGGGAACATCATCACCAAACATAGTTACAACACACCACACATCTTATCTATCCATCCATGGAGGGACACTTAGGTTGCTTCCACATCTTGGTTATTTTAAATACTGTTGCAAAGAACATGTGGGTTCAGACATCTTTTCAAGTCAGTGTTTTGTTTTCTTCAGGTAAATACCCAGAAGTGACATCGATAGATTATAGGATATTTCTATTTTTAAATATCTGAGGAAACTCTACTGTTTCCCATGGTGCTTGCAGCAATTTACGCTCCCACCAACGGTGAGAGAAGGTTCCCTCTTCTTCACATCCTGGACAACACTTGTTACTTCTTATCTTCTTGGTAACAGCCATTTTAATAGGTGTGAGTTTAATTTGCATTTCCCTGATGGGACGTGATGTTGAGCATCTTTCTAGGCACCTGTTGGCCATCTGGATGTCTCTGGAAAAATATCCGTTCCGGTCTCCTGCCCTCCTTGCTTTATTCTGTCCTCAGCACAGATCACTGTCTAACATAGTATATTTCTATTTCTTTTCTGTTACCTCCAGTCAAAGGTAAACTCCACAAAGCAACCGATTTTGCCTAGTCTGTTTACTGCTGTTTCGAATAGTGTCATGCACAGAGCTGGCACTCAACACATATTTGTTGAATGACAGAATTTCCTAGAACAGTTTATATTTCCCCAATCAAAGGACAGAACGGGTGTAAAAAGGGAGGAGGGGAGAAACAGCTTAAGAAACTTCTAACAAATAAGAGCTATAATTATAGCTTTAGTTTATTATGTCTTCTTTCAATCATTTATTTACAATTTTCTAATTGCATTCTTGATGAATATCTGGGTTCAACAACAACAAAAAAGGGAGTGAATGCATTAAGCGACGTTTATTTCTTATTCATGATGTTCCTTTTTTGATTTGGCATCTTTACTCTCCTGGAGTCCTAAGAGAATCGCATCAGCCTCAAGTATAGTTGTATCTGTGGTGGCTCCCAGGAACCTAGATGTAAGTTCAAGATCTAATAGCCGCAGTCGGACTCTGGTTCCTTTCTGGTATTTCCTGAATAGTAAGAAAAAAAAATTCCATTAATTCTGCATATCACAACATGAACAGTTTAATTATTTTTAATGTTTTTTTTTCTTTTGAGAGAGACAGAGCACAAGTGGGGGAGGGGCAGAGACAGAGACACACGCGCGCATGCACACACACACTCACAGAATCTGAAGCAGGCTCCCGATGCGGGACTCCAATTCACGAATCAGGATCTGATCATGAAGTAGGATGCTTAACCAACTGAGCCACCCAGGTGCCCTAAACAAGTAGTTTAAAGTAAAACTCAAATTCTAATTTTAATATGGTGGCTCAAGGTAAAGAATAGGTCCTTTAAAAAATAAATACTTTATACTAGTATGTGAGAAATATTGTTTTTGACAGAAAAGTAATTTAGTTGTATCAGAATTGTACTCTTAAAGTGATGTTTAAAGATTTTATAAAGAAAATTCAAACAATTCTTGAAAATAACAGTTTAATACGTCATTCATTTTTTAAAACATTTATTTATTTATTTTGAGAGAGGGAGTGTGCACATACATGCGGGAAGGGCAGAGAGAGAGAGAGAGAGAGAGAGAGAGAGACACTCCCAAGCAGGCTCCGTGCTAACAGCGGAGAGCCTGACGTTGGGCTCAATTCCACTAACCATGAGATTGTGACCTGAGCCGAAATGAGGAGTCAGAAGTTTAATAGACTGAGCCACCCAGGTGGACCAATGTTATTCATTTCTAACATCAGAGAGTATCAAGGAGAAAAGATTTTCAGATACATTTTTTCTTCTAAAGTTAAAACCTTTTATTTTTATTTAGCGTCTTTTAATATTTATTTTTGAGAAGAGAGAGAGACAGAGTGTGAGTGGGGGAGGGGCAGAGAGAGAGGGAGACACAGAATCGAAAGCAGACTCCAGGCTCTGAGCTGTCAGCACAGAGCCCAAAGCGGGACTCAAACACGTGAACTGTGAGATCATGACCTGAGCCAAAGTTGGTAACCCACTGAGCCACTCAGGTGCCTCCCAAATCTTCTTTTAAAGTAAAGAATATTTTACCAAAACAAATGGAAGAAGGTCTAAATGTGAAGTACTTGGGTGTTGGGGATTGGCTGCACTATAATTAAAGTGTAATGACAGCCATGGCATGCATGATGGCTCACTTTGGTCAATAAAATCCTATTTTATAATACCAAATGAAACATATTCATTCATCTTCTTCCTTGATCAAGTGTTTTAAGGGTTTAAAATCAACATTATAAAAAGTTGCAGGAGAATGAAAATATTGCCAGTGATCCCGAAATCTTTAAAGATCTAAATATACAAGGCATACCTTGCTTCACTGTGCTTCGCTTTGAGCTTTGCAGATATTACGTTTTTTGCAGATTGAAGGTTTGTGGCGAACAAGTGTAATGCTGCCATTTTTCCAACAGTGTTTGCTGACTTTGGGTCTCTCTGTCACATTTTGGGGGTTGTAGGATAGTTCAAACTTTTTCATTATTATTACATTTGTTTCGGTGATCTGTGATTAGTGATTACAACTAGTTGAAAGCTCAGATGATGGTTAGCAGTTTTTAGCAATAAAGTATTTTTTAAATAAAGTATATGCAGTTAAAGTTTGAGTAGGGTTTCAAATCCACGGCTCCACTTATATATGGATTTCTTCTAATAAATACAGTATAGTACTATAAATGTATTTTCTCTTCCTTAGTATTTTCAATAACATTTTCTTTTCTCTAGCTTACTTTATTGTAAGAATACAGTATATAATACACATAATATATAAAATACATGTTTTTTTTTTAAATATTTTTATTTATTTCTAGGAGAGAGAGAGAGACAGCGTGAGCAGGGGAGGGTCAGAGAGAGAGGGAGACACAGACTCCGAAATAGGCTCCAGGCTCTGAGCTGGCAGTCAGCACAGAGCCCGACGCGGGGTTCAAACCCACGAACCGCGAGATCATGACCTAAGCGAAAGTCGGACGCTTAACCGACTAAGCCACCCAGGAGCCCCTTAAAATACATGTTAATTGACTGTTTATATTATTGGTAAGGCTTCCAGTCAACAATAAGCTAGTTTTTAAAAAGGTTTTCCATGTTTATTTATTTATTTTTGAGGGGGAGAGGGGTAGAGAGGGAGGGAAAGAGAGAATCCGAAGCAGGCCCCACATTGTGAGTGCAGAGCCCAATGCAGGACTTGAGCTCAGTAACCTAACCATCAGATCATGACCTAAGCTGAAATTAAGAGTCGGATGCTTCACCAGCTGAGCCACCCAGATGCCCCAACAGTAGGCTCTATTAGTTTAAGTTTTGGGGGAGTCAAAATTATATGCAGATTTCTGATTGCACAGGAGTCAGTAGCCCTAGCCCCTGCATTGTTCAAGGCTGAATTGTATGTTGCTTTTTAGACCTAATGCTATTACTGCACACAAGACCAAAGTATAGTGTAAACATAACTTTTACATGCACTAGGAAACCAAAAAATTCATCTGAATTGCTTTATTGAAATATTTGCTTCATTGTGGTGGTCTGGACCCAAGCCTGTTCTATCTCTGAGGTATGCCTGCACACTAAGTATTCTCATTTTAAATTGGAATGTATACAATGGAAATGGAAAAGTAAACGGAAAGTAAAGAAACAAAGTTCTCCAAAAAAAGTCACTGAAAAATGATTTTTGTGGACCATATAATGAATAGTCTCCACACAATGTTTAACTAGGTATTCTGAAGGGATTTATAAATGGTCTATCAAATAAATATGAAGGCCATTTGGTTTTAAAAATCTCATTTTTCTTTCTGTTAATAGAAGTAAATATTCTTTTGTAAAACTGTGTCAAATAATTAAGTCAGTCATATTTTCTAGTCCTTCTAAATGTCTATTTACATGTATGAATACATGAGTGTATATCTGATAGCACAGATCTTAGTTTCTGTCTTTGTTTAAAAAAAATTAAAGAGATATACTAAAATATTAATTGAGGCATAACTTTTAATCTTAGAAAACAGCAATTATAGGATATATTCTATGTGAATATCCCCTGAGAAAATAAGGTCAGTGCATAGGCAAGGTGATGCTGAACTTTATTTTCTATATTACTTGGAGTTGTAACCTATGTTCTAACAGATTCTTTCATTTGTCCTCACAGCATGACTCACAGTGATCCAGTCAGCATTGATTCATGATTACCCCTCCTCCCCTTTGTTCCTGCAACATCCAATTAGGAACTTTAGTTCATTTTTTAACGCAGATATTTCTTGATCTTAACCCTACAAGTCTCATTATCCCTTAGTTGAAGCTTGAGGTCTAATCTTCCCAGAGCTCATGTTTTTCGCCCAGTTCTCAAGATGGCTTCCATATGATGGCCTGATGTCCATTCGCACATACTTCTATTCCTCTGTACCTTTGCTTCTATCGCTAGCATTCCTTGAACTTCTTGTCTATCCCACTGATCCTTAAGTTCCAGGTAGAACTGGATATATCAAATGCAGCTCCCGAGAGCCTTGACATTCTCCTTGTCGGAATGAAGAGTCTGTCACTGGAATTCCCGTGGAAGAAAGAGGTTTTGCAGTCATAGACTTGGATGCAGATCTGAGCCCTCCTACTTACTAGATGGGTAACCCTGGGTAACTGGCTTTCTCTGAACCATAATTTCTTCATCTACAATAAGAGAGATTCCAATCATTTTGCAGGCTTACTGCGAAGATTAAATGGGATAATATACTCAGCACATGACTGCAAATGTTAGTGTCTCTCACTTACTTGTCTTGGTTATCTGTGCAAGTCTCTGATCTCTCATTAGTCTCTATGCTCCCCCAAGATCTGGCACTGGATTTATCTCCATATCCTTCCAGTGCCAATGTAGCAGGTACTCAAATGTCTGTCAATAAATTAACTTGACACTTGCTGATAAAAGCCACAGGGTCACAGATTATCTAGAATTTCTATTTTCTTGGCTTTAGCAGCTGTGTGGACTGGTACATTTACTTAACTTCTCTGAAATTTGCTTGGCATCGTGCCTAGCATATAGTGGTTAATAAATGTTGGTTTTCTTCTTCCATTGTTCATTGTTGGTTTTTTTTTTTAACTTATTTTTAGGAGCATTACTAATAGGTGGACTATGAACCTATCATGAGGAGAGGAACACTGACTTTTTATAAGAAGAGTTGAACATGTCACAAGCACCAGGGGCACCAATTCTGGGCGTCACCACAGTGGAGAGGAAGCTCTCAGTTTAAGTGGTTCTGTGTCATGTTGATGGTAAAAATCTCCAAACATAAAACATAAAAACAAGAACACTGTGAGTGTCCAGCATGCTTGGTAATTTATGGAATGCAGAAGTTTGTCTACATTTTTAGGTGCATTAGCCTTTAATGATATGAAAGCTTTGCCTTCACTTCTAAAAATTATGGAAATTCTGGGAATTATCCAGTGAGATGATAATAGAGATGAAAAGCAAAGTGCAGGCCTTTATGTGCTGAAATAAGAATTACTGAAATATACACACTGTGCACTACAGAAAACAAACAAAAACGCCTTTAAAAGATTCTCTTCTGCTATCTAGAAATAGCTGTTTCTATTTTTATGGTACTCAATTTGTATTTAGTATTACAGTTCTTCACAGGTAAGCATTAACTTCTCTATGAGACTGTAAGATCCTTAAGGGCAGGTATTTCATATCTGCCTCCCACAGCCCCATGAATACATTTCACATAACGCAGCCTTTTGAACAGTAGTTTCCACACTTCCCAGTATATCAAAAACACCTGGAGTACCAGTTAAAAATGTAAATAGAGGGACACAAGCCTGAAAGTGAGCTGGCAAATCTGAGGGAGCACTTAGGACTTTACCTTTTTAGCAAGCTTCTGAGGTGATTCTGCTTCAGGCTTCTCTGGTCACCACTTGAGAAAAGCTGGCGTAGGATTATGTTTATTATATATAATCAAGTGCAGGAAGACAGGACAGTCTACATAAATACAACAGGCCAGGAAAATGAGGATCTCTGAAAAACTCTGGCCACCATTAA